TACTCAGCTGCTTGTGGTAGATCCCACCATGGAGTTGATTGCCAGTCTCATCATGGGGAATAACTACCACCAGCTGCCCAGCCACTCAACCAGACCCAGCCAAGTTGACACACAAACTGAACTACCACAATTCCACCCTTTGTCAACTTGGCATCTGTACAGATCTCTCTCACTGGGTGACTCCAGTCCTCTAGTTCCTCTCAGTGGTGACCTGGCAGGCCCCATTCCTCTCCCTCTTGGGCATGGTAGCCCTGTCCACTCACTCTTGGACAGTGGCTATGACTCCATCCCACTGGCTCACATGAAAGAGCAGCCCCACACTCCAGAACCAAGTTGGTGAAGGCTTGGCTCTTTGATATCTAGGAGGCTGTGGTCATTCCACCCCCAAAGGCCATGGTCCTACCCTTTCAGGCTGAGGCAGCTCTGCTTCTGTTTCCTTGGTCTCTCTGCTTCTGCTGCTTAATGCTGAAGGCAACCCCCTCTACAGGAGATCTTCCTGCCCCAAAAGCACTCAGTTCTCTTGTGCTGTGGGCCGGCCAGCCTACTACTCCATTTCATGCTGGTGTGTTCACCAATTAATGTCTGAAGGCAACCCACTCCACCAGGAAGCCGCCTCCCAGTGGCACCTGGCTTTCTCCTCCATGGGCTGGTAAGCCTGTTGGTGTTTAATGCCGACCCCTGGGCTCTGCTACTGTTTCTTTCATGTTGGTCTCTCTGCCGGTCTCTTGGCTCTATTCTTGCCATCTCTCATGTTGTATGCCAGGGTCTCGGGTCAAGGACTCACTCCACTCCTGTTTGCACATTTTAGGTATCTGTCAGAGCAGCACTCCCCTCTCTCAGTACCAGATTCTTTTCGACTGGGTTCTCTAGTGAAACAAAACCAGTAAAGCTTATATAGAGAGAGAGTAGGAGAAATTTATCATAGGAAAATGGCTCACACACTTATAGAAGCTGGCAAGTCCAAAGTTCTGGGATCAAACATCAAGCTGGAGGCTTTTCCCGACTAGCGCAGCTGTAGGGACTGAGGAGCTCAAGGTTGGCAGGCAGTATACTGGCTGTTGACTCCAACAAATGACGAGTCCAAGATCTCTAGGCCGAATGGTGGATTGTTCACTCACAGACAGTTGTAGGCACCACAACAATCCGGATCCACAGAAGAGTGTCTCTTTTCCCAGGTTGTCCATAAATATACTGGTAGCAGGCCACACCCCTAGGGAAACTCCCTTTCAATGGATTGGCTGCTCAAAACATACACATTTGATCCCATCATTGGAACAACCCACATTACAATTGCTTAAACCACACAAAATTGTGTTTCAGCCAAGTTGACACACAGCTCCAACTATCACACTTAGTATATGAAAGAAGGTTTGAAAAGTACCTGCTATATATGGATAGGAAACCTGTGAAAAGGTTGAGTAGGATATAAAATTCCACAGCATAGGCTTTAGAGGTAGATAGGGCCTTTGTGACTATCAGCCTGATGCTGTTGAGTAAGCCACTTAATGTGTCAGTGCCTCAGTTTCCTTTTTAAGATGCCATGACCTCCTCACATACTTTCACTGAGCTCCTTAGGTACTGTGCCACTGGTATTTCAAATACCAGCAGGCTCACCCATGGTAAACAGGTTTCAGCAGAGCTTCCAGACTAACACAGAATGGGAAGAAGGATGGAGCCATCCACTTCTGAAAGAACTGGTCAGTGAAAACTTTATGAAAGCAGGGAAACACTGCCTGATAAAAGTGGACCAGGCAGTGTTTCATTCTGTTGTACTATGGGTCGGAGCCTGTTGTACTATGGGTTGGTCGCAATGAGTCAGAGCCAACTCGACGGCACCCATCAACAACAATAAGTATAAAAGTAACGTATTAACATTGTAGAAATTTTACAAAATTCAGAAAGTTAAAGAAGCAGAACAAGATTCAATCATCATCTCTTTTTTTCGGTACAACCAGTAGACTATTTCCTTCTATTGCTTATCTATGAATGCTTTCCCATAATTCATATCTCACTCACTCTGTATTTTGGTTTCAGGTTTTTAATTCCGTTTTTAGAATAGTAACTTTGATTATATAAATAGTATATATTTCTCTTTCTGGAGTTTTCCTATGCATATATATTTGTTTTTATGGAAATTGGTTCATATTCTTATTACATGCTCTCTTAACAGTTTATCAGAATCACATTTTCATATCAATATATAATCAGAAAACTTTTTTGAACTCACAGAATGTTAGAAAAAAAGGACAAATTCCCATGCATCTTTTAAACAGATTAACTGATTTTTAATGTTTGCTGTATTTGCTTGGTTGTTTTCTGTGTGTACCTTGAGATTTACTGTTTTGAATCATTTGAAGACAGGTTGAATACATCATGCTCCTTTACCCCTTAATACTTCCATGTGCGTTTCCTAAGGGTAAGAATTTTTTCTTATATAACTCTGGTAAGTTATCAAAACTTTAAGCAATTTAACTTTTTTTTTTTAGGATTTGGGTGAAGATTTACAGAGTAAATTCACTTTTCATACAGCAGTTCACATATACTTTGTCTCATGTCATTGACCA